GTTCTGCCAGCACCATCTGTTGAAGAGACTATCCCTCCCCATGCGATATATTTTGGTGTTTTGTCAAAGATCAGCTGTCATTCTGCGTTTTTAAAAGTACCTAGTTGTTCCAGGAATTTTAGTGGCACTGTAGGATAAACTCTGAACTGCTAACCACAAGGTCGGCAGTTCAAACCCATCAGCTACTCCAAAGGAGAAAGATGAGGCTTTCTGCTCCCATAAAGATTTACAGCCTCAGGAACTATCTACAAGACAGCTATGAGTTGGAACCGACTCCACAGCACACAGCAACAACACTTCTTCCCTAAAGGAGTGTATGGATATATTACTAATCAAGTTATTTGCCATCACAAACTATAGGTAGTCCCCAACTTATGACAGGGTTCTATTCTGATGACTTTCGTTAAGTCAGTTCTGATGTAAGCCTTTTGTTAGCATTATCATTATAAGTCTGATCTTTGTCTTTGGGGCTTGGAAACATTACATATCCACTTAGAGATATATTCTAATACATGCATACATATTCCTAATGGCAAGACATACTAAAAAACAACAACAGACTGTCCTAAGTGTGGTTCATCGTAACTTGAACATGTTATAAGTTGGGGACTACTTTCACACAGGATAAGGACATACTAATTGCACAAGTGAACTTCAGTGATGGCTTCATGAAGCTGCATCTTGAAAGAAGGATTAGCCAAGTGGTTAAATTAATGGGGGTCATTCTCAGGGCTTTGCAGGTTCTTTTTCAATATTCTTGCTTCAGGACTTAAATTTTCCTCCTTATTCTTTATATTTTATAGCATATAGCTCCTGTTGTTGTTGTAAAGTGTCGTCGAGTCAGTTCTGACTGAGTAACCCTGTTTAGGGTTTCCGAGGAGTGCTGGTTTGAACTGCTACACAGCACTTAACAACAACAACAACCTTGTGTTTAACAGTGCAGTGCTTCACTGTACAGCACCATACCAGGACTCCATATAGCTTCTGGTGCTTCATGAAAAGTTGAATAGGTTTAAAATGATTCCAAATCCTCGATAATGACTTTCATAGATTCAGTCCCCCAATCCCTCTTGGGGCGAGAGGCATGCATTTCAAAGAGCTGGCTAGAACTCTGTCATTGATGGAGAAATTGAGAAGTTTAATTTAGCTGATAACAGATATTCATTTAGCTACACAGTGATCATTAACATCTCAAATGAACAAAGCTTAAAATAATAGTTTGGATAATATAGTCTAAGAGTCAAAAGACTTGGCTATCTTTCATGTATCTTTTATGTGCTTATGCATATTCTAAAATAATTTCCAGATAAGTATATAAACTCCTAGAGCAGAACTTCGCTTCATTCACCAAGAACAGTACTTGGCGCACCTAGTGCCTAACCCTAACCCATTCCTTTCAAGTTGGTTTTGAATCATAGTGACCCTATAGAAGGGCTCTGAAACTGTAGATCTGATTAAAGATACATTTTAATTTTTTTTTTGCTGTAAGTGGAATCAGCGTTGTTTAATTTACAAGTTCTAGGGTCACAAGACTTGAGTTTGAATCCTCGTTATGTGATGTTAAAGGAGCACTTTCTCTTTTCTAGTTTTTATTGTGAATTGAGTGAAAGTTTACAGGGCAGATCATCAGTTTTACATTCAAATTATGTACTTTGTTTTATTACAGTGATTACAATCCCCTCCATGTACCATCTGTTAACATTAGTTCTTTTTATTCATTTTAGCTGTTTTTTTAAAACACTCAAGCATATATAATAATTTACACCACCAGAGGGCACATTCTGCAAGTCTGCCTCCTAGCAGCCAACTCTCAGTTCCCACGAATCTAGAGTCCTCAGCTGCTCCCTTTCTCCATGTCCCCATCTCTGTCTCCATCTCTTGTGTTGCTGCTTCTCTGGATAAGGTCCCACATTCCGCTTGTGCTCTTCTCCCTTGATGGTCCTAGGGTCTTCTGTTTCTGGAATGTAAGATTATCTACTCCCTTGTTTTTGTTACAAAACTTATACCTTACATTTGTGACAGTCACAATTTGAATTGATAACAATTACTATTGAATCATAAGAATCCTATCCCCATCTCTTTTAACCAGACCCATCTAGACAAGATGAAAACTATTCAGTGGGGACTCTTATCTTCCCCCATATACTTTTAAACTATACTCCCTCTTGAAAACGTGTAAGTCAGTCACTTTTATTACTTCATTTGATGATTTTACAAGATTTCTTATTCTGAGGTATTTTCAGTTATAGCCATATCAACAAAAGGAATGTTAATGAGCATTAATATATTGTGATTTGTTATTAAGTGCCATCAAGTCAGTTCTGACTCATTGAAACCCTGTATAGGATTTCCGAGGAGTAGCTGGTGGAATTGAACTGACGAACTTGTAGTTCTTATCCTACAGCACCACACCAGGTCTCCATATTGTGATTGTATAGTTTAGGAACAAAGGTGGAGACAACAGTGGAATGATACAGAAATGTTACTTGTTTTGATGACAATGTAGAATGTTGTAAGGTGCTATTGTGTCAATTCCAACTCATAGTGATCTATGCACAGAACAAAAACACTGCTCAGTCCTGTGCCATCCTCGCAACCATTGTTACGCTTGAGCCCATTGCTGCTGCCACTGTACCAGGCCATCATGTTGGGGGTTGTTTTCACTGACCCTCTCCTTTACCTATACGATGTCCTTCCCCAGGGACTATTCCCTCTTGATAATATGTCCGAAGTATGCGAGACAAAGTCTGGCCATCCTGGATTCTAAGGAGCATTCTGGCTGTACTTCTTATAACACAAATTTGTTTGTTCTTTTGGCAGTCCGTGGTACTTTTAATATTCTTCTCTAACACCATAACTCAAATACATCAGTTCTATAGTCTTCCTTATTCATTGTCCAACTTTCATATGTATATGAGGCTATTGAAAATACCATGACTTGGGTCAGGTGCCCCTTAGTCATCACACTGACATCTTTACTGTTGAACACTTTAAAGAGGTTTTCTGCAGCAGATTTCCCTAATGCAATACATTTTTTGATTTCTTGATTGCAACTTCCATGAGGGTTGATAGTGGATCCAAGCAAAATGAAGTATTTGATAACTTCAAATTTTTCTTCATTTATCATGTTATTTATTGGTCCAGCTTTGAGGATTTTTGTTTTTTTTTTACATTGAGATGTATGAATACACTGAAAGCTGTGGTCTTTAATATTTGTCAGTAAATAGTTTAAATCCTCTTTGCTTTCATAAGGCAAGGTTGTATCATCTGTGTGTCACAGGTTATTAATGAGTCTTCCTCCAATCCTGATGCCATGTTCTTCATGTATTCTGGTATTTCTGACTATTTGCTCAGCATACAGAATGATTAAGTATAGAGAAAGAAGACAACCCTTGCTCACACCTTTCCTGATTTTAAACCATTCAGTGTCTTTCTCTTCAAACAACTATCTCTTGGTCTGTGCACATGAGCACAATTGAATGTTTTGAAATATCCATTGTTTGCAATGTTATCCATAGCTGTCATGATCCACACAGTAAGAAGCCTTTACATAGTCAATAAAGCACAAATAAACATCTTTCTGGTATTCTTTGCTTTCTGTCAAGATCTATTTGATGTCCCTTGTTCACGTCTTCATCTGAATGTGGCTTGAACTTCTGACTGTGTTCTTTCAATGTACTGTTGCAGCTGTTTTTGTATTTATCTTTAGCAAAATTTTACTTGCATGTGTTAATAGTGATATTCTCTGATGATTTCTGCATTTCATTGGGTAACCTCTCTTTGGAATGGACACAAATATGAATCTTTTTCAATCAGTTGTCCAGGTAGCTATCTTCCAGATTTCTTGCCATAAATGAATGAGTACCTCCAGTACTGCATCAGCTTGTTGAGAGATTTCAGTTTGTATTCAGTCAAATCATGAAGCGTGTTCTTTGCCAATAGCAAACAATGGTAGAAGGTAAACACCTAAAAATGTGCAGAAACGAGATGGTAAGAGGAATGTAGAATAACTCTGTTTAATCAGTAGGTGGGAGTTAAAGAACTCTAAGGTGTAGGTTTACAAGGTCCCTTGTAAGGAGCTCTGGTGGCGTAGTGGTTATATCGGGCTGCAAACCGCAAAGTCAGCAGTTCAAAACTACCAGCTGTTCTGCGGGAGAAAGATGAGGCTGTCTACTCCCATAAAGACTTACAGCCTTGGAAACCCTGTATGGGGTCACTGTGAGCACACTACCAAATTGTTTGGTTTGACAGTCTCTGACATGGCTAGCTTGAAAAACATAGATATTGTTTTCATGTAGGAATAATAATGTATCTTTTGAGGGTTTTTTATTCCTTTTTTCTCATGTGCTATCAAACCGGTTTGAACCTACTTTGTTTCCTTTTGCTACTTTCCCCCCTTTCCACCCAGTGCCTAATGAGTGCCTTTCTTTCTTTTTTACCATCTTCTCCCTCAGAGGCAATGCCTTTCCAAGTCTTCAATGATCGCACTTTAAAGTTCTCTCCGGGGCTCTCATCTCCCATAACCCTTTTTGTTATTTTCACACCTAGGGTGGACTGTCTCTTCCTAATGATAATTTTAGATCAATCTTAGTCTTTCCTTCTCCTGTATTTGATGTTTCTTTTAATACTTACATGAAGCTCTGGTGGCACTGGACGAAAAGCACTAGACTGCTAGCCACAATGTTGGCAGTTTAAACCCACCAGCTACTCAGTGGGAGAAAGATGAGGCTTTCTGCTTCTGTAAAGATTTGTAGCCTCAGAAATTCTAGCTAGGGCTGCTGGGAGTCAGAATGAACTCGGTGGCAGTGGGTCCAGTGCAGTTAATACTTACGGGTAATTGTAAGTTTAGGCAATCTCTGACTTCTCATTATTCTGAAAGTGTGGCGTTTGTCCTTGTTCTACAGTGGTTTTGAAAAATACGTGAGGAGGTTGAAATTTGAGCACCCTGAGCTTTTTTAGAAACTCTATGGTTGCTGTTGAGCCTTTAAAGCACATGGGAACAAACTTTACTCATGGATCATTCAGGAGGAGGGAAGCTTGAAAGTTTCATTTGTTCAGCTACTGACTAGTTGTTTTTGCAATGCTTAGAATGTTACTGAAGTGTAGTTCAACTTGACAATACTTATTTACAATAATATTTCTAAATTTTATAAATTCTGAAAATATTTACGTCTAATAAAAATAGATTATAGCAAAATTACTTCCTGTCTCTTGCCTTCACTAATTAGAGTACTTTCTTTGGGTATGAGACTTTCCTCGGTGCTCTTAGAAGCCTCAGACAATTCTTTGAAAATCCAAACCAAAAAAACCATAGATTTAGGATATACGTTATGTTTATATTGTGACTTTTCCCAGCAAAAAAATTGGAAACTTAAAAATAAAAAAAAAAATCACTGTGTTCTTGAGAACTTGGATTTCATTTTTAATGTAAAGAATGCCTGGTCACGATCTTCTATTCCTTATACATAGTAGGTTTGATTTATGTAGCCTGAGGTAGCATAGGAAATGTTTCTCTTGAATTTTCAGTAGAGTCCGAGGAGCTATTTTTAAATAATAAGCATTATAAAATTTTGTTTTGCCAACAAGGAAATGATCTCAGCTAATGCTTTCCCCCCACAGGCTGCTTTGACTCTGCCACGGAGACCTTTCCTTCATTGCTCTACCTTGATACCCATTGTGGTTCTGACCCTGAAGTTCGCTATGCACCTTATCAAGCTCAAAGACTCTTGGTGCTTTCTGCCCTGGATGCTATTTATTTCATGGACTTCACACCACATTCGAGATGGAATCCGTCATGGCTTGTGGATATGCCCATTTGGAAAAACTTCTCCTTTACCATTCTGGCTTTATGTAGTAATCACATCATCTTTACCCCACATCTGTTCATTTGTTATGTATTTAACAGGAACCAGACAAATGATGTCTTCAAAAAATGGAATCCATATTGATGTCTGAGATATTGTATGGCAGTTTGGAGAAACAAATAGGTTAGACAATGATAATTGAGTTGCCAACATTAAAGTGAATTTTTAGAAACACGTATAGGCATTTATATCATTTAGTTATAGTTCCTGATCCTTTTGCTTCAAAAGGCACCTAAAACTTGAAAAAAAATTGTATCTGTTGTAATTCTGATTGTCTTTTCTGTAATACCATAGTACAACATTAGACTTATTATTTATTTCTTGTAATATTTTTATAGCTTCTTCAGTTTATCCTACTTTATTAGTAGCTCTGTTAGATTAGCATCCTAGTTAAGTTACCTGGAAGTCTACTTTTAGGTTAGTCCATTTTCTAATGAAAAACAGCTCATATTTTAGAGTAGAAAGCTAGTTTTATAGTTGGGGCCATATTTTCCTAAGATAATAAAACAATGAAATGACCAAAATAAATGAGATCATGAATAAGATGTATAGTGAATGCTTAACATTTACCTATTTCATATATGTTGATCGTGAATGAAATTTATTTTGCAAAGTACTGTAGTAACTTCTCATTGTTGACAGAATCTGCTTCAGAGCCATGTGAGAAACATTTATAAAAGACAGTACATTTAGGTCACTGTTCAATCATTGATTTAGAAAATAACTAGTTGTCATATGCTGGCTGTATTAATATCTTACTGCAGTATTCATTTTTAGTACTGTTGCCTAAGGATCTCATGTTTGTTGTTGTAAAGTGCTGTCGAGTCGGTTCCTACTCATAGCGACCCTCTATAGAGTTTCCGAGGTACAACTGGTGGGTTTGAACTGTTGACCCTGTGATTCACAGTCTATTGCTGATCCTACAGTGCCACACCGGGAGTCCCTAGAATCTCATGTACTGGTGTTTTATCTATTTTGAAAAATATAACCGAAGTTAAAAAAATATTTGTTAACAAATTGAAACCTATGATGTTATGAATCATAGCCACAGAATTTGAATTTATTTATAAAAAAGTACTTGTCAGACATGTGATTTCAAATACAAACTTGAATGTGCCATTAAAACCTATTGTTAAGTGTTGTCAAGTCAATTCTGACTCATAGCGACTCTGTATAGAGTTTCCAAGGAGTGGCTGGTGGGTTTAAACTGCCATCTTTGTGGTTAGCAGTCAGTCTAGGGCTGATCATGTAGCACCACATTAAAACTTATAGCTGCTATTGATTTGTTTACACATTATTCTGAAATATTGCGTCATTTCAATCATTTTTTTAAATGTGCCTGATATTGAGCAAAGTATATATATTTTTTCAAAATAGTTTTAGGAACTTAATTTTTCTTGTGTTCATTCAGTTTGATTTTCTGTTAAAATGGTTAACCTTTTTTGGAGAAGAAAGATATGTAGTTAAAGTAAATTTCACATTTGTACAGTTATCCCAATATTAAATCAGTGCTCCAAAGATAACTGCTTTTCTCTGTGGCATATGTATCAACTGCTCTCTTCAGATTTTCTTATAGGTTTCTGTGCCCTTTTTCTCTGAGAAATGGTAGGATGATTCATAAAGCAACATCTTGTCCAAAGCAGATTTTTCTTATACGATATTATATAGTTCAATAAATAGTTATAAAGGTCCAAGCTCTTTAGTAAAGATGTAACTTTTTTCCCCCTTGTTATTAGCTAATTAATTACAATCTATATTTTACAGTCTATTAGATCTTACAATCTATTGTTACCTTCCAAAAGCAAATTGGATCACTTTCACTGGTATTATGGTGGTGGTTGTGTGCCGTGGTGGTGATGGTGTGTCGTGGAGTCGGTACCAACACAAAGTGACCCTGTATAGGGTTTCTGAGGCTGTAGATCTTTCCAGGAATAGAAAGCCTCATCTGTCTCCTGAGGAACGGCTGGTAGTTTTGAACTACTGACCTTGAGGTTAGCAGTCTAACTTGTAACCACTATGCTACCAGAGCTCCTTGTATTATGTTGATGTTGTTGTTGTTAGGTGCCATCGAGTAGGTACCAACTCATAGTAATCCTATGCACAACAGAACAAAACACTGCCCGGCCCTAGGCCAATCTCACAATTGTTGCCACGCTTGAGTCCATTGATGCTGCCACTTTGCAAATCCATCTCTCTGAGGATACTTCCTCTTTTTCTTTGACCCTCCACCGTACCAAACATGATATCCTTCTCCAGTGACTGGTCCCTCCTGACAATAGGTCCAAAGTATGAGAGACGAAGTTTGGCCATCCTGGCCTCCAAGGAGCACTCTGGCTGCACTTCTTCCAACACAGACCTGTTGGTTCTTTGGCAGCCCATGGCACTTTCAATATACTCCTCCAACACCATAACTCAAAAGCATCAATTCTATGGTCTTCCTAATTCACTGTCCAGCTTTCGCATGCATATGAGGTTATTGAAAATACTGTGGTTTGAGTCAGGCGCACCTTAGTCCTCAAGCTGACATCCTTGCTCTTCAACACTTTAAAAAGTGCCTGTGCAACAGATTTGCCTAATGCAATACATCCTTTGATTTCTTGACTGCTACTTCCGTGAGTGTTGATGGTTGATCCAAGAATACTGAAGTCCTGGTATTATAGTAAATATTGTATAATAAAGATAAGTTTTGCCTTGGAAGAAGTACAGCTAGAATACGTAAAAGCAAGAATGGCAAGACTTCCTCTCACATACTTTAGACGTTATCAGGGCGAACCAATCCCTGGAGAACATCATGCTTTGTAAAGTAGAGTGTCATCAAAAAAGAGGAAGGCCCACAGTGAGGAGGACTAACACGGTGACTACAACAATGTGCTCAAACAGCACGGATTATGAGGATGGCACAGGACTGGGCAGTATATTTCTGTCTGGGGCCACTGTAAGTCATAGCTGACTTAGTGGTACCTGACAACCACAAAGTTAAATTTAATTAGAGATTTTTAAAAAGAATCTGATTTCAGAAATCCATGGAAATAATGTTCTAAAACTATGGGGTTAACTTTACCCAAAGAATTTGTTTTTTGTCATTGGTTGGGGACTGGCCATATTAGAAAGAACCCACTATACCTGCTGACTTGGAGGGGACTGATCAATCATAATGAGGCCCTCACAAAGGCTCTGGCTCCAGTAAAAGCTCCAGGGGTTAGTGAAAGACATCTGTGTACATGAAAAGGTAATATGCCCCTTTGGGGAATATGTTGTTAGTTCCCTCAAATCAGTTCAGAACCATAGAGACCCTGTATAGGACTTCCAAACAGCGGCTGGTGATCTTGAACGACTGACCTTGCAGTTCAAACTTATTTTGTAGTCCAGCACATTAACCCACAGCACCACACCAGGACGCAAGCCATTTTAATCAGAAGTTTCAATTGTAGAAATTTATTCTAAAGAAATAAATAGGTATATAATGCAAAGGAAAAGGGCTTCCAGAGGTCTAGAAGTCTTTCAGTAGAAAATAACCTAAAGTATGGGAAGAACCTCATTGAGATGGACTGTCACCGTGTCTACAACAATGGGTTCAAAGAACAATGCTTGTCTATCCAGAGAAGCAGTGATGCCTGAAATGGAGCCAGAAATGATGACGTGGAGTGATGGAGCAGCTGGAGACTTTAGATCCAGAGAGGGAGAGCGACTGTGTGCTGAAGACCTGGGGGGTATGGGGGTGGGGGGCAGGATTGCAGGGTATACCCTTTGATTGGTTGATGATGCATGGAGGGAATTGTAACCATGGCAATGAGACGATATACGATAGAATGAATGTAAAATTAATGTTCTCCCATGTAAACTATCACGTAATTCATAATAAAACATTTAAGAAAAAAAAAACAAAAACAATGCTTGCAGGACCAGGAAACGTTTTTGTCTTGTTACACATAAGGTCACGCTACAAGGCGGACTCAATGGCATGGAATAACAAGCTATTTTCCAAACAATGGAGTATTAATGTCTAGAGAGTTGTTTAAATCTATGAGGTAGCTAGACCTACTTTGTAATGATATACAAAGATGTCTGTGTGAAACATTATTAAAACCATGTGATGATCATGTCTAATGTCCCCTGACTTCACAAGGAGGAAAGAGAATCAAACTTGAAGTCAGCCAAAGGCTGATTCCTAGGAAGTGGTGATCAGAATGCTTCTATCTTACAATCTTCTTTACCCTACTCTGACACCAACCATCCCTCTCACCACACACTCTGCTTCACATCTGGGTTCGATAATCCATTGCAATGGCCACACAGAATTCATAACAATACTCAGGATTATAGAATTTATCATGGAAGTGAACGGTACAATTCAGGATCAAAACCAACTCAGGACGCAGCAGTTCTCTAGTCAGGGACGCCTCTTGTCTGCCATACTGCTGACACGCCTCACACTTGTTTTCAGCCTCTCAGCCATGTAGTTCCTTGGCCTCTGGCCTGCTCAAACACATGTTACAAAGTTCTTTGAGCCAGCCTGTGAATGACCAAAGGGCACATTCTTAGGTCACCTGTCCATAGGTTTTACTCAGTCCACAGACCTAGAGCCTGAAGCCGCTCTGCCTCTGCATATCACCACCTCTTCTGTTGCCTCTTGCCTTCACTTCTGCAGTCACTGTTTCTCTAGGTAGAGATCTCATGTGTCATTCATGCTCTTCCTTCCTGATGATCCTGGGATCTTCCATCTCTATTTCTGAGATGGCTCCTTTTGAATCTAGCTGGAGGGAAAACCAACCAATCCCAGCCTTAAAGTACCTTATTTGCATGGCCCCGTCTAATCACTTGGAGAACTGGTATGGTACTAGCCTACGAGTTTGGTTTGAACCCAAAAGGTTGGCAGTTCAAGCTTATAAACTGCTCTTTGGAAACCCTATACAGAGTCACTAGGAGTTGGAACTGATTCAGTGGCACTTAACAACATCCAACCACTTGGTGGGAAGTAAGATGACTTTGGATAGAAAAGCCACATCAAATAAATTCAAGGCACCACAGGCCACCGCCTAGCCATTGTCTTTCATAAATTTCATAACTAGTCTCCCTTTTCGGTTATACATC